AGCAGTAGCAGTAGCAGTAGCAGTAGCAGTAGCAGTAGCAGTAGTAGTAGTAGTAGTAGTAGTAGTAGTAGTACTAGTACTAGTAGTAGTAGTAGGAGTAGTAGTAGTAGTAGTAGTAGTAGTTAGTAGTAGTTGTAATTGCAGCAGTGGCAGCAGTGGCAGCAGCAGCGGTGGTGGTGGTGGCGGCGGCGGCAGTGGCGGCCGCGGCATTAGCAGTAGAATTAAGTGCCGTCGTGGTGGTATTCTTGCTCATGTGAACATGAAAAATATACGCACGGCTTTGACAACAGCTACATTTATTCCAGTACAACTAGTAGGAATCAGGAAGGGTAGTCGTTGCAGCAGCGGTAACTACAACAGAATGCTGAACAGTCATGAGAGAATCAAAATCACACCAAAGCCCACCATTATCACTCTGACGTTCATCATCTCCAAGATCATCACATCTGCAGTCAACTTGGAGGCCAAAGAGCTGAAGGCAAGTTTCGCCTTCATGCCCACAGAGATCTCTGTCAACACTCAACCCAAATCATCATCGTCGTCGTCATCATCACCCGTCTCTCCAATCAAATGCCAATCACACGTGTGCACTGTACTCATGCGGCACGACTTGGCGCCTGCTTGCTCATGGCCAGCGGTTACCTCACACACTGATGGGGCAGTTTGTCTTTGTTTTGGTCGTGCTCATTTTGTACTTAACCGCCAGTACTGCTCTGATGGTTGTCGTTGTTTGCCAAGATCACTAACATAATTCCGTCAAGTGCCAAAGTGAGACTCTGAGACCACAGACCTAGGTAGCGAAAAGACCAACGAGTCCTCGATTCGTTTCTCGTGGTGATTTGCGTAAACGATCTTGAAGTGTTCGTAGATAGCTGAACAATGGAGTATGAGACGTGCTCAGTCGTGAACAGTCACAAAAGGAAACTAGCCATCTGCAAATCAACATCACCCTTACGGATTTCTGAGTTACACCACGCTGCCCAGAACATGATCTCGGCCAAGAACATGGCATAAAACCTGTACTTCTCGTCGATTCTGGCGCTGGATGTCGGCGTTGTGAAGTCTACTTTCTGGCTCAGTGTGTTTGGCCCAGCCGTCTCCAACTGGTAGAAGTATTGTCTGATCACAGCCAGCATTTCAGGATCATTTGCGAAATCCTCCTTCTTGG